CACTGCTTCTGAGCTTTGGCAGGTCCACCCAGCAGTCCAGTGAATTCTGGGAACTCGACAATGCAACATGGTTTATGTAAAAGGGCTGTAGAGTCAGTATCATATATAATAATATATATATAATCGATGTAGAACTGGGTATCACCACTCTAATAATGCTCCCTCTAATGAATACATGAATGCATACTTGTCCAAATGCATTATGAATTTCCAAACATGAATACAACTTGGGTTCTGTCAGCCTAGACAGCATCTGGTAGGCCACCTCCTCAGATCTGCTGGTTATCACATTTTATTTCTAAGGTCACTCTGTGCATGCATTCACCCCTCATCTATTGAAACAGAACATAAGCACAAACCATCACGCTGTGAGTGAGAGTGAACCAGGCACCTCCTGTTCTCAGAAAACAGATCAAATTCAGCAAGTTATCATTAATCATTTGTACAGTGTTTTACGTTCCAGTGGTGATGGATTCTGCTCATTTTTTTTCCTTTTACAAGATTATAAAGTAAAGTTTATAATGTAACTGTTTCACAATTAAGAAAGAAAAAAAAAAGAAAAAGGTTCAAAGTGGCTTCTCCCACCTCTCCAGTAACTGGAATGAGAAGGCATGAGACATGGAACCCACAAGGTCTGCTCTATAACTGTCCCCACTTCTGCTCCAAAAGAAAAGAAGAGAGATTCATTTCAGATGGAAACATTGGAAGTATCATCCCAGCTGAGGATTTACACATGAAAACGTCCACTGCGGCACCCCGTTGACTACTTCTAAGAGTAGATACCCTCAAAGAGCCAGGAAGAACTGAACCTAAGCCGTGGTGTGTCATGGACGGCTGCCATGGGGGCAGCCCGTGACACCTCCATCCCACTCATTCTGGGGTAAAATTAATTCAAACCTGGACGCATTGTACCTCCTTTTCAAAACACAGATGATGGCCCTAAAAACCAACTTAGATTTCCCAAAACGAACACGAAATGACACTCGTTACACTCGTCCCCAAATAGACTGTTGCATTATGTATGGGTACAATTTCACTGCAATTTCACTCTCATCTGTTCCCCTATGTATTTTCAGATGTAAAGTTAAGGAAAATAGATAAGGAAGCTGGAAAAAAATCAATCTTCCAAGCACATATATGGTCATGGCAGGGAAGACAGGATGTGGTTGACAGAAGTTGCTCAGAATGAAGAGCCACTGCATGGCCAACAGTTTTTTTTTTGGGGGGGGGAAGATACAGAAGAAAGGGGCAGCAATTAACATTATGGCAGGATCACACGATCGAGGCATTTTAACATGTGAGGTGACAATGAAAAAAGTAAATGAAAAGGTTGGCACAATAACCAAAAAAACGGGAGCCCAGGTAAGCACCGTTACGGGAAGGATAGCAACCACAGTCGAGTGGAGTCGAAACACGCCCCTTTGGGGTGCAATCAAAGCCACGGAATGCGAGTTTGTCTTGGAATTGTAGGAGGGCACTCAGTAGAAGGGAAGGAAGCCACTAACTCATTTATTATTGAAAGGTGCCTATTTACAGGATCCTTTTGCCAGCATCTTCTGTGCAGAGCAGCAGTTTTTCCTTCGGTAGGCTAGACAGCTCAGATACCAGCCACGGTCATAGGTTTTCTGAACAAAAACAAAACTCGAAAATGTAGAAAAGCATGCCCAGCTAGCTGAAACACTGAACCACGAAGATTCAACATCCGGGAACAGGGGTATATTCAATGTGGGCTCGACAGACATAAATGAGCACGTGCACGGCACCCACTCTGGGGCGTGACTGACAGCTTGCTCTCAGGAGGCATTCTTGCCTAGTAATATCCTTCAAGAGAGCGGGCAGGGCCATGTGCCTCACGGTCAGGCTCCCGGAGGACGCCTGGGTCTTCATTCTTCTCTACAACCTTGAGAACTGAAGGACATATCCGCCAGTGGGTGGCAGGGAGATTTCTCAATAGCAGCTTAACTCCTTTTTTCTTTCTTTCTTTCTTTTTTTTTTTTTAATCAGCTGAAGCACCTCAGTAAACAACTCTTCTGAAAATTTATTGCCACTGTCTTGCCTGCTGTGTGAAAAGATAGAACTTTCAGCTGCTACACGCCTTCCTTCTATTTGACAGCAATAACGGAAGGCAGCCTGGGGCCTTCCCTGCAACCTGCAATCATTTCAATCTCAGATTAGAGGGACTGACGTCCTCGAAATGCAGGAGTGAACATCTAGCCACGAAGGTGGCCATGGTGTTAGTTTTCAGTCGGCCACGAAGGTCTTGGATCTACTGCTCCACATCTGAGGGTTTGTGCTTTACGCTCCCACCAGGGTCCCCACTTGAGTCAGCATGGGGATTGATTGCAATGCAAATAGAAAAAGTGTGTGTTGATTCTCTCTGAGAGCCCTGGGACACGTGATTAGAGGGTGGCAGAAACCAGATAAGGGCATCCAGCCAGCGTTCCTGTGAATGCCAATGTACACAGCAGACAGGCGTACACATCCAGCTGTCCACTTCTTCCATCCACGCATTTTCACACCGACTCGAAGAACATTGGGCTCACAGAACCCTAAGCAATGAAAACAGGAACGCAGGCTGGACCACCACTGCATTCCACAAGCCACACCATTCATGACGTGTCTGAGCTGTTTCAACAGCCACCGACAGAGCCCGTCAGGCGATGAACGCAGAGAAGGACAACATAGGTCAGCCTGGAGGGGCGAGGGGTCAGCACTTCCTCCTGGAGACAGGCAGATGCTCAAGGACCATACAGTGCTTTCCACAAACACGGCAGTGTCAGGGCTTATTCCCTCATACGATATTCAGAGATACGGAAACGGACCATGGCAGGCGCTTACCTGGGGTATCTACCCGGTGAGCGAAAACTGCCGTTTCTATGGCATGTGGCCCAACTGTTCATCCAATAACTCAGAACCATTTTTATAAAAGCTAAAACCCCATATACACGGAAGCGCGGAAAGGCTGCACCAACTTGGGGGTTTTGCTGTATCTCGGGTTGGGGGAGGCAAGGGGTCGGGGTCGGGGCCGTGAAGAGGGACAAGCATGTTGCCTTTTTACCATATACATTTTTACGCTGCGTTAACTTTTGAAAATGGCACATGAAGCTTTCTTCAGCAGAGAAAATAGAAGACATATCTTAAAGATAAAAACGGAAACCACCTCCTGCCCACAAAAAACATAGGCAGATGACACAGACA